ACTAAGTCTCCAAACTTTTCAGCCTGGTCTCATAATTTTTCCTTAACATCATCATTTCTTATCACTCTCCTACACATATGCTAGGCTTAGGGTAAAACAAAACAAATTTTCTTGTTTTTGAACTTGTTCTTACTCTCCCACATCTGCTCTTATCCTTACCTGCCTAGACCAGCTTTTATCAAGTTCATAAAGCCTTTTCGGAAATACCCCCACCCCAACACAGGTAGAGGCTTCCCCTAAGTCCCATTTTATTGTTACCATTTTTGTCATACTTATTCAAATCTACTTATCTCTCAGGCATCTAAAGCAAGTTGCCATACAGTAAAAGGGCGCTAAAATCAAACAGGCAGGAGTATCCTAGCTCCACAAATGTATAAATGGTCAAGATACTAACTCCAAAGAGCCGGAGATCCCTGTTCTGAAGAATGGGGACAGGAGAACCAAGATGGAGGAGCAGGTGAACATGGTACTCACTGTCTCCCACAATCACATCAAAATTAAAGCTAAAATACAGAACAACCATCACTGAAAACCACCTGAAAGCTAGCTGAATGGAAATCCTACAACTAGAGAAGAAGAAAGCACATTGAGACATAGGAGGAGCAGAGGCGCAGAATGGGCTGGTCTGAGACCCATGTGTGGCATTTTTTTCAATAGGGAGGAATATCTCGGCAGCAGAGGCCTCCTATGCGGAGTAAGGGATCCACACCAAACCCCCGGCCCAGGGTTCCAGAGCTGGGAAGAGAAGTCCCCATAACTTCAGGCTGTAAAAACCAGGGGGATTATGGCTGAGTGATGCTGAGTCTGCTGGAGACCCAGACAGTTACTATTAAAGGGCTGTTGCATGAACGTACACAGACTTCCTCCCTCTGAGCTTCAGCACTGGGGTAAGGGCTCAGGGGACCCAGAGACAAAAGAGGAAGAACTGGATTGTCTGGCATCACACCAAGGGTCTTAGTTTGAATTTCAAAATGGACCAGTCAGAAATTAAGCATACACTAACTGAAGTAAAGAATAATTTACAAGGATTCAAAATATCAAGGATTTGGAATATGAGGAAGCAAAAAACACCCAATCAGAAGAGCAAAAAGAAAGAAGAACCCAAAAATATGAAGATAGTGTAAAGAGCCTCTGGGACAACTTCAAGCGCACCAACATTCGCATTATGAGGGTGCCAGAAAGAAAAGAAAGCAAGCAAGATATTGAAAACCTTTTGAAAGAAATAATGACAGAAAACTTCCCCTACCTGGTGAAAGAAATAGACTTACAAGTCTAGGAAGCACAGAGAGTCCCAAAAAGAGGAACCCAAAGAAGCCCACACTGAGAAGCATCATAATTAAAATGCCAAAGGTTAGAGATGAAGGAGAATCTTAGAAGCAGCAAGAGAAACGCAGTTAGTACAAAGAAGAAGAAAATATGAACAATAAAATGGCAACAAATGCATATCAACAATTGAATCTAAAAATCAAAATAAACGAACGAGGAATCTAATGACCAAAATAAACTGATGAATAAAATAGAACCAGAGGCATAGAAACATGGAACAGACTGAGGAATCTCAGAGGGAAGTGGGGATGAGGGGCAGGAAGAGATTAACCAAAGAACTTATATGTACATAAGGCATTACCTATGGACACAGACAATAGGATAGTGAAGGCTTGTGGCGGGGTGGGAACTGGGTAAAGGGGGCAATGTGGGGGGGAAAGGGAGTCATTTGTAATATTCTCAACAATAGTAAAAATAAATAAAAAATTTAAAAAAAAAGAATCTGGACAATCACAACTGACTTTACATGCTTGTGCTTATGTAAAACCACGAATCAATCAATCAACAAATGCATGCATTCAGCCTCATGTCTCTGATTCTACACAAAAGAAGAGTATAATATAAAGGTCATTCAAAATTGCCTTGAATTCCCGGATTCTCCCCTGTCTTTGCACTGATCCCACTCAATGTGAAGGTCAAGATACGTGATCCTCTGAACTGACTGAATTAATTATAACTATTAGTTTAAGTGAATAGTGGATGGTTCCAGCAATATCCTAGGCAATAAGAAAGAATTATATTCCTGTATTTGTAAGAGTGCATACATAAAGATATTAAAAGGAAAAGTAATATTATTTCTGCGTGTCCTAACAGGCAGCCACAGTCAGAAATCAGAACCTGTGAACAGCCATGACACTTGCACCATCATGCAAGGAAAGGGTCAGAGAAAGTTCTAGCAGGTAAAAAAAAAAAAAAAAAAAACCTCTCTGAAGTTATATTAATTATTATTCACTGATGGTTTTAGAATATGTTTCTTTTAAAAACAAAAAGGAAAAAAATAAGTATTTCTTACTCATTGATAATGACAGCATTCACATTCACAGTCAACTATGCTGAAAGAATGTCTTGTCCTAATAGGGAACACACTTTAAATTGGTGTTTAAAATTGAAAGATTACACATAGAAAGCAATTACAAAAATGACAGGCTGAGGGGGACCTTGAGGAACTGAGAACCTATTTATCACTAGCAACCACCACAAAACCTGGTACCCTGAAGCAGTAAGTTTTTGTTTATTAAACAGATATTCCAATTCAGACTGCAATATTCACACAAAAAAGCAACATCACAATTACCTGCACTTTAATGTAATTTTAAAACCATTTTGTAAATAAACTGAAACAAGGAAGTGTCACTTATGAATAGCAACCAATCCTATAACGATTTTGGAAGTAGCTGAATTATCCACACTGAGCACTGGAAACAAGACAACATTTAATAAGAACATATATAAACTAGGTAAGAAGCAAGATAAAGAATCAGTTATGATCATCACTTGTAATAGATTGCAGGGGACCACCTTAACAATTTCATTACAGCACCACTATGACAAATATTATAACCCTAACTAAGTAATTAGAAAGGGATTTCCTATATAAAAATACTTCCTCTTTTTAAAAGTGGTCACCTGTTGAGTCGGTAAATTAGCAGTAGTTGGGATAAATAATATACTTGGTACAGGCTGCTTGTTATCCAAATACAGCAATCCAAAAACAAACTCAATTGTTTAATTATAGGAGGCTAATGCAGTTTCCTATGAGGTTTCAGATAATTGTTTATTTACCAAATAAGCATGAATGACTATGAAAAGATCTAAAGCTATTTTATGAGAAAGTTTTACTATGTATTGTTAAGGTAGTGGGAATCTACTGAAACATTTAAAACCATGTAGGCTAGTGGAATTGATTTTAAACACTCTAGATCCATGGTCGGCAAACTGCAGCTCTCGAGCCACATGTGGCTCTTTGGTCCCTTGAGTGTGGCTCTTCCTAAGCCTTAGGAGTACCCTAATTAAGTTAATAACAATGTACCTACCTATATAGTTTAAGTTTAAAAGATTTGGCTCTCAAAAAGAATTTCAATCGTACTGTTGATATTTGGCTCTGTTGACTAATGAGTTTGCCGACCACTGCTCTAGATGTTCTACATAGTTAAAATCCTGTTTCTAACAGTAGTCAATTCCAAAAGCCTTATGTGAGCATTAATTACATAGCATATAGGCAGACTCATCATTTACTCTGGATTCAAATTTCCCTGAACATTGCCTAAGAAATTTTTATATTCCATGTTAGCTTGTTAAACAACTCAATAAAACCACAGCAATTAAAATAATTATTTTCCACACACTGAGATGTCTAATAACATGTGTCACTTGAAACACTGTATTTTGCCACCTGCTGGTTCATCTTTTCACAGATTTAACCAAATGCTTGGGTGGCAGGGTTTTCATGATTAATGAATCAAGATTATTTGCAAGTGGCAACACTGAAGAAATAAAGTTAGAATTAGTCTTTTCAGGTTTAATCACAATGATATTGCTTTCCTTTTTCCCATTACTTGATAAATCCATTACACATTATATTTTAAATGTACAATGAACTCTCATTAATTTCAGATTATATTAGTAACAGACCAGAGTAGAATTTTTGAAGAAGTTTAGTCACTGGTATCATTATAGAATTAATGTCCAATCTCTCTGAATAGCCTTCCTGCATGGAAATGTTTCTCTCCAACTACTGCCTATACATTGTTAACATGCATGCACATGCCACTGTACATCCTATTCCACTGCCATTTATCATTTACTAGTTTTAAATATTCATGCTGCACTACCTACAAAACGAAAACAAATCAAAGCATATCTCTTGAAAGCTCTATATATTACAAAATCAAAAAATGTTAGAGCTGGAAGGGATACAAATTTTTGTCCAACTTCCTCATTCTAACATAAAAAGAAGAAAGCTGAGACCCAGAGATTGACTTAGATACTGTCACAAAGCTATATAGTCAGAACTTG